TGTATTGATATGTGTACAACAGCTTGTTGCTGCCACCATTAATAATAATAATAATAATAATAATAATAATAATAATAATTTGAAAGTAATTTTGGTGTAACAATTAAAAAGTATAATTAAAAAATGACCTGGACACTAGGGGCAGAGGTTAAATTTTCAATAATTTTATACGCATTAAAAGATGGAAGAGAGTCTGTTGGATTCACCTCAGGCTTTCTATGGTTAATATCACCTACGAGTTAATAATAATACAACTTGTGGGTTCATATCAGGCATATCAGGCTGTTGTACCTACTTTGCTGGTTCAAACCCGATCAAAGCCGTGAACTTTTAAGGCTGAAAAAAAATTCTTCAGAGGGGAAGTAAAACCATCTGTCCCATGTTGTAGATTTCCTGCATGTAAAAGATCCCCAAGTCCAAAAGAAGCCTCTGAGCTAAATTCATATCATTTGTTTCATAAGTAATACAGTCAACTCCGGTTGTAGTGAACTATAGTGAACCCTCGGTTTTAGTGAACTTGAGTCACTGGTCCCGTTTCACTTACATTACATATAAGCATAAGAAGATTTGGTTATAGTGAAGATGAACTCCGGTTATAGTGAATCTCGGTCATAAGAAATACAATTCCCATCTGGAAAAGAATATATTGCCTCAGTGCCACAAATTCCAACACTTGACAGCTTGAAAGAAATATTGGCCAGAGGTCATAATAAAAGTTCTCCCCTGAGGTGGCCGTAGCAGACCGGGACTGGGGCCTGAATGATGACTTCATGCCACTCAGCTTGATGTTACGTGATATTCCATGGGTCAAAGCGCATTGTATTCTACATAGGCGACAGGAAGCACATGACACAACCCCACGATACCCACCAGGCCATGGCGAAAGCATGAACTCTGGAGAAGGATCTAGAGAAATTAGTAATGAATAACGTATGAAGGAAACAACTCAAAATTATTGAGTTTTCAAAGGATAAATAAAGATATTAAAATTTTCAGTTTGTGCTGTTAATGTATATTCTGTATATCGACATATATTAATAAAATCAATAATTATGGAGAAATTCTATTTAATTTTGACATCCTTGGTTAAGTGAACCAGAAACGTTAGTCCCCAGAAATTCACTATAAGCAGGAGTCGACTGTATCTTCTTTCTCCACTAGATGATGAAAGGAGCTACCAAAATTTGCGTGCTCAGATGGATGAGCGGATCTGATGACCCGAGTGTTGCCATGTAAAATAAGGCATTAAGTAACTGACTAAACTTCAATAAAGATGAATCAAGACAATTTGTAGATCCATTGAAAAGGAGCTTTCAAGCTATTCTGCGTCATCCTGGAAGCCACTATGCGTCTGTACCAGTTGGACACACTGCATTTAAAATAACATGATAACCTGGCTCTCAACAAAATAAAATAGGCTGCCCACAGTTGGACCATTTGCAATGATTTGAAGGCTATCTCCAAGTTTCTTTGTCAACAAGGTGGATATAGTACAAAGTTCCAATGTTTTATTTGCAAGTGGGACAGCCATAATAAGGCTCAACATTGGGTCAAAAAGATAATATCTTGAACCAGGAGCCATGAATGGTTCGGAATGGCTTAGTTCAACCAAAGAGTATTGTTACCATCTTGGCATATAAAATTAGGCACAATGAAACAGTTAGTCAAGACTATTCTAAAAGTTGATAATTGTTTCAAATACCTGTGCGAAAAGTTTCCAGGTTTATCCGAAGAAAAGTTGAAAGAGGGAATCTTTGTTGGTCCAGATATCCACAAGCTTAAGAAAGAATTTGAAACTAGCATGTTAACAAAGAAAAAATACATTTGGGTTGCCTTCAAAGGTGGCAATGGGAAATTTCTGTGTTTTTGAAGGATCCTACCTATAAAGCAATTGTTATTAACATGCTGGACAAACTTCAAGCATTGGGTTGCTTCATGAGAGATGAAATACATTTCCTTCACTCACATGTGGATTTTCACCCCCCCCCCCAAAAAAAAAAAAGATAGCAAAGAACAGGGTGAATGGTTTCACAAAGACTTGAAATATATGAATCACTAATATCAAGAGAGAGAGAGAGAGAGAGAGGACAAGAACATGATTGCTGACTACTACTGGATGTTAACATGAGATAGGCCTGAGATTGAACATAAAAGAAAAATGTCAATTTATTAGAAATTATTTTGAATTTTATTTTAATTTATTTTTTGGTCAGTTTAAAATCTGTTTCAAAGTTTCAAGTACACATATTCGTCTAGGTCAATCATCTATTTTGTCATTTACCTTAGTAAAAATAATTAAACCAGTATGTTAGTGATTTTTTTTTCTCCAGAAACTGTACCATAAATTGATGTTAAGTGTTTAAATTCAACAAAACATTGATTTTCTTTTCAGTAGAGGCAGTGTGTGTGATATAGCAACCAGGGTTCATCCATTTAAACCTATAAAAAATGAAATTGCTGAAAAATAAATTTGCCTCAACATGAATCAATTACACTTCATGTAGATTTATATGGATAAAACCACTGATGACAGGCAGTAATCATTCAGCCAGAAATTGTTTGAGCAATTAAAAATATCGCTATTGATTTTACAAAAACTCCTAACAAGATTGAAAAAATTGGAGGTCACTGTCAACAACATCACACCATATAGCAAAAAAAGCAGCAAAAACTTGAATATCACAGACTTGTGTTATGAAAGGCATGATGGGCAGATGGAGATATTTAAATATTTTAATCAACAATGTGAAGCACAGTGCAGGGAAAATGAAGACATGGACTCTTCATAATCTAGCAAGATAATGTCTCCAATTTACACAATTTGACTGCTTTTTTATTTCTGTGTCAATTTTTCTTACAGAAACAAATGTATTCATTTCTTTTAAAAATTATTAACAATTTATAGGTTTCTGGAGTTTTTGAATGTTTTTGAAATGCAAATTTTTCCATAGAAATAATTTTTTCAAACCAACTTTTGAGTGCTTATTGCAGTTTGGCCATTTATTCAAGGGGTTCATTAGACAAAATATGCTTCAAATTGTCTTAATAAAATTATAGTGCGTGGTCATTGACTATTAGTACATTGTCCACATATCTTATGCCAAAAAACATATTTTCAATAAACTGAAGCATTTTAACATACACATTTTTTTTAAAAAACTGTCATAAAAGAAGCCAACCTTGCTGAAGTAACTTTCTTGATGATTCTTGGCATCTTATTCACAAGTTTCTCACAAACAATAGCTTCAATGAATTATTTTACAAATTTTTTGAGGTATTTTTCAATTTTGAACCACTATGAACCAGAAACTGAGTTGTACTTACAGTCTGTTCTCCATAGCACACGATAGCAATCTGTTGCTTCCCCTTTGCCTCTTAACACTTTGCATCAATGAATACGCAAGTGGGGATAAAAGCATCCTGAAGTAATGTTTATCTACACAAGATAAATGGGGGCCAAGGGCCTACTTCAGTGCCCTGGGTTTGGTTGCACTATCAACTGTGATTTAAAAATACAACAGCAAACATTTTCATGCGTTATTTTGTAACTTGCAATTTTCGAAAATTTAGAAAGATCAATGAAAATTTAGAATGATCAATCAAATCGAACATGTGGCACGTTTATTTTATTAACAGATTTCATGAAGAAAAAACATCAATATTGTAGTTGTAGAAAGTTGCCTAAAAAGTTAACTTTTGCAACTTTCGAAAATTCTGAGAATTTAACAAATATTGGAGATACACCTTTTATATAAACATACTTTGCTTTATCTCAGAAAAAATTGGAGCCATTTATGAGAAAATGTTTAAAACCGTAAGGCTTGCTGTTAAGTGCCCCGAAAGATAAAAATATCCATTACAAATTCTAGGATTGGATACTGGCTATACAAACATGTTTGTGCCATTTATTGTATATAGGAACAAACATCGTACATTTTTTCAGGCTCAGGAACACACAAAACAAATATTGAAAAACAGTTGCTTTTTGCTGCAGCATTACAATACTTCCTCTATGGTAAGTAGCTTGAGGGAAAGTAAATAAAGGCTGATGAATTGTCATAACATAACACTTATTATACTACGTAATTCTAAAATATAAAAAGGCACAATGTCTAGTGAATTATCTAGCATTTTCTATTCCAACTAAAAACAATATAATAACATTCTAGCCAACAATAATTCTAGCTAATAATAACATCCTAGCCAACTTTCAAAACTGAGTGTCTTGTAAATTAATTGACTAGAAATTAATGTCTTCTTTAATTATTTTGCACAAAAAAATCAAATCTATTAGATATCTAGGAGAATTAAGAAAAGATATATGCAGTAATAATGGTAATTATTTTTTTAAAAAAGCATAAAGAAAACCTAAATGAGTGAAATTGAGGAGAGAACACCCATCTTTCAAGAACCTTAGAATATCTACCCTTCGGTACAATTGATTATTTTCTTTGTCAAAAAATCAAAATGGAACAAATATAGCAGAAAATATTACCGCTCTTCCTAATTTTTTATCTTAAAAGTCATCAAAAATTTTTTCACCAAAATAATAGCAAGTCAGCCCTAACTACCACAACATGTTCAACAGTTACTAGGACTTAAGAAATTAAGAATGCTCCACTATTTTGTAGTTTTGAGAAATCCGTATCATTTCTGATTCACCATCATTCATGACACAAACATCAAGTACTAATAGTTTAACACAAATAGTTTCTAATACCCTAAATGTACAACAAACTTCTGGGAAGAACTATCCAAAGATTGAATTTATTTATTTACTTGCATGAGAAAATAGTAACTTTGATTTCACATTTGGAGGGAAGAAGAAAAGCAACTTTTACTGACAGCAACAAACCACAAGGACAAAAATCCTAACCGGTTGTCATTGATAAAGCAATTTTAATCAAATTTTTACCATACTGTTTTAGTACACTAAAAATGTTATTAAATTATGAAATCAAATGTTTACAATAAAGAATGTCAAATTTGTTTTTACTCACCAGAAGAACATAAACTTCTGTCCTTTAATAAATCGCTAAAAATGTCTTCACCAGAAGTAGCACGAGAATCCTATAGCAAAGCAATAATGAAATAGAGCTTCACTATGCAATGAAACTGATTAGTCTAAGGCAGATTTAAAGAAAAAGGTTCCATGGTAATGAATGAATTAAGATTTCATAATTCAAATGGCAGCATTGAATTTTATGTACTCTTATCTCATTCAGTGAATTATAAAATGCAAATTACTGAGAGTAAAGTTTTCTTGTAGACATTTGCCATTGATAAGAGGCAACTACGTGACACATAAATAATATTCAATTGTTGTACACAACTTTTGGAATTATGTAAAGCAAAAATGCATAATAAATATTGGCATCTCAATTGTAGAAAGAAAGAAAAAAAAAATTAGGTTGAGGAATGATGCTGAATTATTTACTAAAAAGTAGATGAACAAAAAAGAGCAACATTTTTTTTCTAATAGTGAAGAAATGTTTCCTTTTAGATTCAGAGGCAATATTGCTAAATTTCATTTTCCTACTACATTTGAAGTGCCACAAACAATCTGAATTTTTTACAAACATTATAAAAATTTAAAAACTGATAGTTTGTATTTTTTAGAAGTTTACCAATTTTTGTTCTATTCATTTTAACGATTTATTATTCTATTTTAATGAATATAATAAGATATTAAACCAAATAAAATGAAAGGCTTGTTTGTTCACAAAAAATAATTTATAAGAACAAAATATTTGAAGTAACAAAATATTTGACATGATTTAAGTTCGAAAACGTGTCATTAAAATTCTTGATAACTTGTGTTAAATTTTGGGATATTTTGTGAGAGCAATATTTACTTTAATAAAACTTTCTCTTGAAGGTAATTGTTTTGGACATCTACTAGTGCAAACCTTTTGGAGTAATCTCCTTTAATTTAACCAGAATCCAGAGACGCTCCGAATTTGCTTAACCTTCGGAGCCTAGTTAAGGAATTCGGCTAGTAATGACAACCAGCACATAATTTGGGGAATCATTGGAAATATGCCTTGCCATTGGGGGTTATGTGATTTTTATGTCATTCCATGGCATCCTGTCAATGTAATCCTTAGTGTCAAAACTAATTTTTGGTATTGTAACCTTCCCACTACCACCTCAACTCCCTGTTCTTGCATTTAGAATTTGGCGGAAACCAAGCACTTGTGTGTGTTTGGCTCTATCATATAGCTGGGTCAAAACAATATTTTGCACAGGAGACATGGCTCTATAAAGCAGTCACAACTGCTAAGTACTTATTACATTCAGACAGAAGAAAGGAATGGGGTGAAACCTTCATGGAATATAAAGTATCTATGTGTAAGCAAAATAGCACCACATCATAACTTCCCCAAACAAACACCCCCCCCCCCCGCCATGCTACACAGCCAGGATTAACAGGCTTAAACCACCAGCAGGACAGGAAACACAACGATGGATTACAATTGAACACATGAGCAACTTTTTTTATTTACCTCTATATCTGCCAAGGTCTCATCTGTCACATCCATTTTGATGAATACTGCTGCTGGCGGCTCAAGTTCTTCCTGTTAGAGAAAATAGAATTTCAGAAAAACAAGGTTCTTTCAGGGATCAGTTGCAAGGGTAAGGGGCAATATAGTAACCATTATTTCATACATTAAATACCACGGACGGATCCAGACGATTTTGGGAGGCGAGAGAATCATATATTTTTGTTAAATAATAAACATGTTATTATATTGTATATTATTTTTGTAATGTAATATAAGATTCTATACAATATTTCTTGTCCATGGGGGAGGGGGGCATGGAATGTGCCCCCACACACACACACATACACACTCGCAAGGACTGGAGATATTGTATAGAATCTAATAAAGAAATAAACATGGTACAAGTTCGATTTTCATTAATCTTTCTGAATTTTCAAAAATTGCAAATTATAAATAACACATGAAAATGTTTGCGGTTGTAGTTTTTAAATCAGTCCACAAATATTCAATAGGGTTCACGATGAGACGTTTTAGGAGTTTTTAGTTGTGTTGGTGCATTCCTTGTCAGTCACTGCTTGCAAATATATTGTTATACATATTTACACACTGCTGGTCAAAAGTTTTTGGACACCCATTAAAGTTTTTTCTCTCGCACACTGTATTTGGTCTTGATAGTGCAACCAAAGCAACCCCAGTCCCTAGTGCAACCCCAGTGCACTGAAGTAAGGCCTTTGTACCACTTTATCATGTGTAGATACACATTACATAGGGATCCTTTTATCCCCACTCAAGAGTATTCGTTGATACTAAGTGTTGAGTGGCTGGGAAAGCATTTATTGTTGTCCCTATTATATCATCTTGTTGTTTAGCTTACGGCTTCATTTATGTCCACAAGGATGATTTACCAATGCATCCTGTCATAAGCTCAGTTAACACTTCTATTTATAATTTATCAAAATTTCTTAATAAACTTTTAAAACCACTTTTACAAGAAATAATTATTGCAGTAATTTTAATTCTTACCACACTATTTAAGTAAATGATGTAAGCTATAAACAGAATGGTGGTATGGCTATCGAGGGTGTATTAAGCAGTTTTTGCTCTAAAATTATAACGCGGAAATTAGAATCTGATATTTTATCTAAATTCAATGTCAAGTTTCATCGTCACTATGTTGACGATACGTTTATTATTATATGACAGATTCAGACCATGATATCTTTTTAGAACTTAATAACTTACATCCTTAACTTAAATTTACTATTGAAAAAGAAATAGATAAATAATCAATTGTTAGATGTTATCATCATTAAGAATGACCATTACGTGAAAACAAATTGGTTCAGAAAATCAACATTTGCAAGCAAAGGGCTTCATTACTACTGCTCACATAGTAAGAAAACCAAAATTGGAATTATTTATAATCTAGTGGATTGCGCAGACAAGTTAGCTGATAAGGAATTCCATCCCTTTAACTCACAAATAGTTCAAGCTATTTAAGAAAAAATAATTATCCTAATGCTATTATTACTAAATTTATCTTTTAGAGAATGAAGTTTCTTGATTCACATTTCAAACAATGTCAAAACATAACAATACTTCCGAGAATAAATGTTCATCGTTACCTTTTGTTCTCACAACAAATTATTAAAACAGATTTTTCAAGAAAAGTACCAGTGTAGACTAACGAACACAGCTTATACTGACTTTGGTTGGAAATGATGACGTCTGAAGTTCTCCTTTCAACAAAGCGAATGCTGTACACGGTATTGAATGCAATGATTGCCATCAAATATATTTAGGCCAAACTAGTTGTTAGGTTCTAACTAGAATGAAAGAACATCAGAGAGATTCCTCCAAGACAAAACTTATATCTGATTGTCGGATAAAGTTCACCCTCTCTTTCAATTTTCAAAATCCCAGAATCTGATATTCAGGCCTGGAGATAATCACAATAATTTTCTGAAACTCAACACATTAAAATAATTATATTAATACTACCATTGAGCATTATAATTTTACAAAAATGTTTGTTTTGCTGAATAGATATCGAACATGGACAAATTATTTCCCCTTCTTTCCACCGCTTCCAAACCGTCCCCCTCCCTTTCTCGTCTTAACTTCCCCAGAGAGTGTTAATGTTCATACTGTCTGTTTTTGTAAGCTCTGACGTTTCTGGTAAGTTCTTACCCGTCATAATTTCTCCATTTTAATATTGTATGGTAAATAATTTAAAATTTTGTCAACTTTTCAACATTCAATTTTACAGCCTCATTATGGAGACAATAATCCCCGACACTGTTGCACAGAAGGATTATGCAATAAATTAAGGTTACAAAAAATTTGTTTGTCTATAAATACGGACCCTAACCCTCTACTACAATATATAATAGAATAATTTTCCACTAATAGTATCTATTATTTCTACATACATTGAGGCAAGGCAAAATACCTAGCGATATTTTTGGCATTTGCAAGCAAAACTTTAATGACTAATATCTTGTGAAATATAAGGAATTGCGTGATGATACAAATTAATACGAGACGTTGAGAGTGTTAAGAGTCAGAAAATCTCAATATTAATGGAATGAAGTAAATTTTGAACAATTTAGGAATTTTTCTGAAAATAAAACAGAGAAATAAGATAGGACATTGTTGATAAGGGACAAAAGACGCTCTATGTATGGTTAGGGTGTGATAAGAGCACATCAAGGAACACAAATAACAACGGAACAAGATAACTGGTTACATCGTGTAGAAAGTGAAAGCTAACCATTTTGGACAGAACTATCTGGATTTTGTAGAGGAAGCATCGAAGGCTGTCAGGGCGTGAAGTTGATATACTTTGTAATTAGTCTGTAGAGATAGATAATGGACATGTGGTCCAAGGATTTAAGAGAATAGGGAAGTAATTGAAAAGTAATTTATTAGAGAGAAAAGATTAACATTAGTTGGATAATTAGGTTGTAAATACTAGTTCAATTTATAAGTTAAATTCAGTGTGGATGTAAGGAGAACACCAGATAGAGTTGCTGATTTTGATGATAATGCCAAGAATTCAGAGAAGAATCTTCAAAAGGGAAGTTCAGATAATAAGCAGCAAAAAACTTCAACAAAAATATTGTAGCAAGGCCAAGTTGTGTGTAATTATAAGGTAACATTAAGATAGATAAAGAATTGTTATGTTTGTTTATAGAGATTCGATGGCCATCAAACAGTTTAAAAATTAGCGAAAGATAAAGAAATATTGTTGAACATCAAAATAATTAGAAATTAAAATAAAAAGTTCAGCAGACAACACAATGTCGCTGGCAATATAGTAAACAACATTGACAAGTTGTTTAATTTATGAGTAAGAGAAGTAATACTCCGCCTGGAAGGTACGTTACCTTGACATTGGTGGCGGAGCTTGAGTACCCCTTTGACCCTGAGAGCTATGCTGGTGGTAGTGTAGCTACTGGTAGAACCCCCCTTGATGGACAGGTCGAGGGGGAGTGATCAGACAAAGAAGTACTCCAGAGGAGGACCTCAACACCAAGAAGAGGACTACAGGAAGCAACTCCAGAAGAGGACTATGCTGACATAGAAAACCATCAGCTTTGCGGAGATGGGGAAGAGGCCCTGTAGCTTAGGAGAAGAGGAGAAGGGTAGGCGAGACTCTTCGGGCAGCGGGAAGCCATCTCACCTAGAGGAGACAACCTCGATAAAAAATCCAGTCTCTTCCCTGCTTGGAAGTTGTGTGAAGGGCTAGTAAACCTCCCAAGTAAAAAGCAATTACACTCGCAAGCTTCAAAGAAGATGGCCAGACCGAACTTAAGACGAATTTGGCAAGAAAAAGGTTAAGAGATATGGAATAAAGGATATATTAAAGATTGCTGCTTGGAATGTGACGGGTCTGTCAACAAAAGAACTAGAACTAGATAAGGAACTAAAAGAGAAAGGGATAAATATACCCATTATTTCAGAAACAAAAAAGAAACTTAAAGGAACAAAAGACCTGGAAAATTATGTAATGATATATAGTGGGGTAGAACAAAGAAGAAGAGCTGCAAGTGGAGTCTCAATTCTTATTGACAAAAAAATGGAAAAACAAAATCAAAAGTTATATTTTTGTTAAAGATAGAATATTGATCGTACGATTAAAAATATAAAGTGGGTATCATACTATATTTGGTGTATATGCTCCTGAAGAAGGCATGACAGAACTAACTGAAAAATTCTATGAAGTCCTTCAGCAACATTACCATAAATTACCATATAATATTGGCAGGAGACTATTAATGCCAGACTAGGTATATCTCTCGGAGAGAATCACTTGAATAGAAATAGGCGAGAGCATAGAGAATTTGCCACCTTCAACAACTTGAAGATAAGGAATACACTCTTTCATAGGAAAGATATTTATGGACATGGATATTTATATAAATGGACTGCAAGAGGTCCAAGATCAATTATAGATTATATAATTGCAAATAAGAAATTAGCAAGTGAAGTAAGAGATACATGAGTATATAGAGGAAGTGACATAAATTCAGACCATAACTTGTAGAAATCAGATATAGAAATCTTAGCAAGGCAGAAGAAGATATATTCGAGTTCCTACCATCAGAACCAGAAAAAGGCAGAAGTCTTCAAAGTCCATCTCCTGCTAAAAGAGAGCGTAAAATATTTACATCAAACCAGAATGGCACAGAAGATTGAAGATACCATCACTAGCAATGATCTAGAAGAAGAATGGGTAAATATTAAAACCATAATAAAGACGCGGCTTGAGAAGTTTTAGGAAAACCAAGAACATTTAGGAAACTGAAAGGTCTTAAAATATGGAACGAAGAGATAGAACAAGCTATAATACAAAAAAAAGTAGCATATAAGCATCTGCAAATGAAGACCGATGAAACAGTGAGTATACAAAGTTAAAAGAAATATCACCAAAGAAATAGTTAGAAATGCTCACCAATCAGCATGGGAAAGATTCATAAATGAATTAGAAAATGACATTCATGGCACACAACAACTAGCATATTAAGTATTTAGGCATATCAATAGTGATTTAAAAAACACAGCTAATTTAAAAATTATAAAAGAAAGTCAGTAGGTTGAACGTTATCAAACTTTATGGTATAACCCTCAAGATGAAAATATCCAATGTGAAATACCAGTACAAGCTTCGGTACATGACACTGAATTAGAAGAATTAGAAACAGCAATATTGGGACTAAAAAATTGAAAAGCTCCGAGACTTGACAAAGTAAATACCAATCTAATAAAATATGGAGGTTAGCTGTTAAAACTAATTCTCCACCTATTCAATGTACATTGGAAGCAATGCTGTGTCTCTGAAGAATGGCAAAAAAGTGAAAGTAATTTCATTATTTAAAAAAGGGAAAAGAAGTGACTGTGGCAACTTTACAAGTATTAGTATACTACCCACATGCTATAAAATATATGCAAAAATTTTAAATAAAAGACTTGTTAAAATCTCTGAAATTTTAATTATAGAAGAACCAAATGGTTTTAGAAAAGGATCCTCCTGTACAGATAATTTTACCATCCAACAACTAATAGAAAAGTGTAGAGAATTTTATCTAGAAACTCATTTGGCTTTCGTTGATTATGAAGAAGCTTTTGATAAGTTGAAATGTTCTACTTTACGGGAAATTATGTAAAGAAGAGGCTACCCACACCACTAAATAACATTAAATCTCTGTATCAGAATACCTCTGTTATTTTAGAACTAGAAGAAAAAAATATTCAAAAGAAATAAAAACAAACCAAGGAGTTCACCAAGGATGCAGCCTTTCCCCAACATAGTTTAACATATACTTGGATGACATCATTTGAGAATGGAAGAACAAAATCAGCCTAGGAATTAAGCTCAAAAATGGAGTGCACTTAAATACACTCCTACTTGCTGATGATCACATTATAATCCATGAAAGTCAGGATGACTTATAGAGGTCTATTCATCAATTAAACCAAACTTGCAAAGGATATAATCTAAAGATTTCAAAAACGAAGACCAAAACAATAGCATTTGTGGGAAAGCATTCTATACGCACCAAAATAATTTTGGAAATTATGATACTGGAACAAATTAGCAAATTTAAATGTTTGGGCTACAACATACCGTTCCACACAGAAATGGATGTAGATGATAAAGTACCAGAATGTATGCAGAAATATTCGGCGAACTCTTAAAGATCAAACATGTAGAGATACTCTAATGATGATATATAAAGTAATGGCTGTCCCATTTCTGTTGTTTAGAAGTGAATGCTGGACTGTGAGAGAGAAAGATAAACAAGAGTTGCAGTCTGCTGAAATGAATATCATGAAATCTGTAAAAATATGTACCAAACTAGATAAACTCAGAAATGAGGAAAAACTAAAAGATTTAAACGTTCAAGCAATCAATGACAAGGTACAATGTTTCAGACCGGAATGGTTACAACATGTGGAAAGAATGAAAGAGACTCACATTCCAAAGCAGGTGTTTAAGTATAGGCTTCAAGGCAGAAGAGATCCAGATAGACCCCTAAAAAGATGGAATTCTTCGAAGCTGGAACAGGTCATAGACCTATCCTTGAAGTGGAGAAAAAGAAAGGAGTAATAATATATATTGCCTAACTAAATTAAATGATTCACCAGCTGAATACTCATATGAGTGGTGTTTTCTAGCTCACGAAGAAAAGAACAATATCTTGAGAATGCATAAGTACGCTGATGGCCAAAACTTAACTGAAAACCAGAGCTAGCCACTCCATTTTATTAGAAATGTTCAGAAATTATAGGGGAAATTGTGAATTACCAAAATACCACAACCAAAGATGGGAAAAATAAATAAATCAGGGAAAGTAATTATAGGGAAATACAATAAAATTTATTATAAATTTAATAATTATAAAAAGAATTTTGATTTACTTCAATAGCATGCCCAATGCGGGGCAGTAAAGCAATATAATTATTTAATTAATATAAAAGTGATGATGCACTTTCATTTATTGTTATAACTAATTTGCTTTATTAATATTAACAATAATGAACTTTGATTACCTTGTATTGTGAATAATTTACTACCTAAATGTGTTTTTATTAATTAATTACTTTGTGACATGTTCCAGGACCGACGTTTTTAGAAATCGAGTACTGATTATAATCAAGTACTATATTACGTGAATTGTTCATTACCCCTGCTGCTCAAAACACCTGCACTACACAGTCCCTGCCCTCCATGGATTTCTCTCTTGCCAGAACACTGTATTGTCAGTTTAAACGACTTTTGTAAGGCGAACCATATTTTAACCAAATAAATGAAAATTATTGCCGATTGTCACAGCGTGAGTAGTCGAGACAGTTTTCTAATTTTGTATGTTTTCTGTTACCAATCAATAACTACAATTGTGAAATTGGACACTCCTATTATAAACAAAGCTGAAGTACCTTCACTTGAAGGAGCACAACATTCTTCCCGAGACATTTGGAACTCCATAAGCAGAAGGCACATTGAATTGGATATATTTGACACAGATTGAAATGAAGATAAGTGTACATTAGAAAATATCATTGACATTAAGGATTTGGAAAGTGAATAACGGCAAGATTCCAGTAATTTCTAGCTCCAAAAAGGGGATAATCATAATAATAATAATAAAAATAATAATAATAATAATAATAATAATAATAATATTTATTGAGTCACATATACAATTACAATTGTGTATGACGAGTCAAATATGATATACATACATCTTGGGAGCAGCGAGTGAAGTTACATTTATTTTTATTGTCCACAAGCAAAACAAAGGGCCATCTCAGCGTTTTCTCAAAGGACCAGGGCAACTGGACAAAAACCTGATCAACATGGGGTCATTGGCCTAGTGATTACACAATACTTGTTACAGATATATATTAAGATATTACACAGGAGATAATTATTTTTACTGTCATTTGTAACTCCTCGATTCAGAACACAATACACAACAGGCACAATACTGGGCTCAAATTGTCTGTTACTTAATTACAAAACATTAATTATGTAAGTGAGATTATTATAAATAACAATATTGTTGATACTAAGTAAAATTTCTTTGAATTATAAAATATTTTTAAGTTGTACAAATTGAAATTTACTGTCATTTCAAATTTCATGACTGCAGTTAAGGGTTCATATTTTCCAGCAAAACACCTCATTTAATGTTAGAGAAGTTTATCCTTACCTCTCCTTCCTGCTTTACCTCGCTGGTATCTTCCACTGGTTGAAGAAACTTTGATAACTCTGGCTGTGCCTGTTCAAAAGAATGAAACTATTAAAACATAAAATTTTTCAATTACATTACACTTCTTCAGCACAGAGGCAAACATGCAAGTACATGCACCTCTTTCTCATGTTCTATTCTGGAAAAAAGTTAGTACTTTGCTTAAATGAAGAATGAAATAGACGTTTATAAAAGTCCTATTATTTTTTAAATAAAAATCAATAAAGGAACTTACCACAGCATTCTGAAGAGATTCTGCATCATCGGGCTCTCCTTTCACCTGACAAGCAATCGTATTAAATTAATAACAATGACCAGCGAATATTGAAATACATTAGAATGTATTGTAAACTTCTCTTCCTAAGATACATGTTTAAGAAATAATGCACGGTACTAAAGCCTGGGGTTCACGATAAATTACACGTAAAACCGTGCGAATACGTTAAAACGCGCATAGAACGATAAGTACAGTATTATGTGTTACATGTTTCGAGTTTACGAAATCGTGTTCTCGATATTTTACCACATGCGTGTGAACTAACTAGGTAATAAAAGATCGTAACGAGCATTGCAACAGTAACATTTGATTTCAATAAATTTTCTCTCGTTTGTAATAGAATTGGGCCAATTTCAATTGGCAAACAAGCAAGTTGATTTGATATGGACCGCTCCTGACGAAATGGAAATATCTAAAGCACACACTCCTCTCGCATCTAGAGATACATCAAGTTCAAGAAAACGCAGAAATAAGTAGCAAGTAATTTTACTCCTTTCAATAATTTAAACTGTAACCACTTACCTCTTCAAATTTAATAATACTTTCGGCTTCCACATGTACGTTTTCCATTAATGCAGCTCCACATTCAATTATCGACGAGCCAACAGCAAGACTACTTAGAAGACTTTTTGTAACCTGTTGTAACCTGCGGCCACAGACAGAGAAACACAGAGAACTGGCCAGGGCAGGCAGGCACACTACAAATCATAATAATCAACATAATTGGAATATCAATACT